ATTTGCATATGTCAGCAATATGCAAATTAGGTAAAGGCATTAATTAAGCATGCGAAAGGCCGACTTTTTAGAACAAAATGAATAGTTAAAGGGCTTAAACTAAACCAAATTGTCTGAAATTTTGTACAGTAATTAAACACCCGACAAATTTTCAATCTATTAACTCAAAATATGATTACAGCTTTTAAATTTTGTGCGCGAGCCATTTTTAGTTTGTTGGAAAAGACACACCCCCTGGTTCACAAAATTTGAGTTCGAGAAATTTTTTTCATTATTTTACATTATAAGTACCCAAAGAAGCTATACATATATAAAACCAGATACAACTAGGTGTTTTGCGAAATTGGGAGCAATTTCAAATCTGTTCAGTTTTTTTTTATACACCCTGTATATAAATATATATATATATATATATATATATATATATATATATATATATATATATATATATATATATATATATATATATATATATATATATATATATATATATATATATATATATATATATATATATATATATATATATATATCATTGAACTATAAATAAACTGGAAGGCTAACTCAGGGGGGGAAATTGAAGCCAGTGCATTTTAGTTTTTCTGAGTTATGAGCAGAAATACTCAACACTGAACGTTGGGCTATTTATCAAATTGAAGCTATTGAAAAACGCTATTTGGTGTAGAAATTTCAAGACTTTAGCTAAAAGGGAAATATTAAAAAACTACAAACATAATTACCGATAATTTGCCGTTTTGCAGTTGTTTTTGTATTTTTTAAATATTTTTCTTTTTGCTGAAGTCTTGAAATTTCCACACCAAATAGCAATTTTCAATAGCTTCAATTTGATATATAGCCCGACGTTTGGGGTCAAGTATTTCTGCTCATAACTCAGAAAAACTATTTTGGCTTCATCAAATCATAGGCCTTCATTATAGCAGTTAGCCTTCCAGTTTATTTATAGTTCAATGCCTTGGAATTCCAAAGGTATGGGGACAGTTGAGTATT